CCAACATGGCGTAGGAGTGCCTTGCCAATACTATGGTCAGAAAGATAGGCAGTAGAGGAAGTTGGTCGTAAAGTGAAGAATTTAGTCACTGTTCAGTCTGAAACTGAGCGTGGAAAGGTAGTGAAGGACGTGTCGATCGTTTCTGAGAAGAACGAGAAGGTGAAGGTGGAGAAGTATCATCAGCAGGTAATTGTCGTTGACGTTTAGGCGTGGGACCAGAGTTGGTCCGACGTGGAACGGGTCGGCGATTTGAAAAATTGCCGCACCGTAGAGGGAGAGGCCGGAAGCATATGTCAGAGGAGAGCGAAGGTCTGATAAATCGAAGGAGTCAGTCGAGGCCTCAGTACCTGAAGCGGGTGAGGAAACAGCACCGGCAATAGGTACAGAGGCATGAGGAATGTCTGAAGAGTGGTCCAAAGACGAGGCGGGGTCAGAACGGGGTGCGGTTATCAAGAAGGGCCCGGGGTACCAGTTCATGGACTAGGGCTGCCATGGTTAGGTTACTTCTTTCTTTTTGTTTTTAAGAAAAAAAAGAAAGAAGAAAAGAAATAAAAAATAAAAAAAGAAAAAAAAAAGGGGGGACCGGGGAGGGATAGTTCCTAGGAGGAATGAAAGGGCCAGAAATCTCCCTCCGCGCCCAAGAGGACTCGACACCGCTAGTAGCGCAGATGCAGCATGGAACCCGTGCCATACCCTACCCTTCATGCCAGTAAACCAGCAATCTGGGATAGCAACCTCACATCTGCCGAGCTACCTCGGTGGACAAAGAGAGGGCGGCCGGATATCCGCCACAAAGCATACCTCCTTCAGCCACCACCCCCGGAACCGAAAGGTGGCTTCCAGAGATACACCCGTCGCCAAAAGACACCCAAAGCTACTCCGGGATACCGGAGAGGGATCGGGACATCCCTAGCAATCCAGATTCCACGGCAAACTACGCCACCGCCAAGAAACCTCAACGGAATGGGATGGACCCCGGTGTCCTTTCCCCCACCTAGGAACTAGCGCGCCTGTGGGAGAAATCACGAAGGCTAAAAAGAGGAAGGGCAAAAGGAGGGGTGAGGAGGAGGAGGAGGAATGGAAAAAGGGGAGGATGGGGAGGATGGGATAGGGGAGGGGAGAATGGGGGGTAATTAGGTTCGGTCTGAGGAAGAAGACCGACAGGGCTAATTCCTCAGACCAAGAGCCTCTTCACCACGCCAAGGAGCCCCCCTTGAAGAGGACAAAAAAAAAAAAAAAAAAAAAAAAAAAAAAAAAAAAAAAAAAAAAAAAATGGCACCACATAGAGGAGCTTTGTAAAAGCTTACTCTAGCTATATCTACAATAATATCAACCTTATCGATATTAAATCTAACAGCACATTTTTATCATAAGTACCCCTCAAGGAAGGTTCCTTGATGCTAGTGAGGGGCTCTTGATCTAGGGAATTGGATCTGTGCTCGTTCCCTGAATCTTCCATTTCACCCCCCCCCCTCCACATGAGCTGTATAATTCTACAGGTTTAGCACTCCCCCATAATTATAATTGTCATAAGTAAGGTATCCTTAAATTTTAAGACTTTCCTAATATGCTATGTACACTGATTTTCAAGAAATACCTTGTAACATTTTTATAAATTATTTCACATACCTTTTGTATTGTTTTATTTTGAATAACATTGTAATTATAATTACATTCAGGTCTGCTTCAGTGGAAATAAAATTAAAAAAGTTCTAACAGCAGCATTACACACTGAAGCAGCATATTTGGGCAGCCTAAAATTTATATTTATTTATCACTAACATAGATTATTATAATTATCATTATAATCAAAAACAACCGCTAAACCACACTAACGTAGAACGCTTTCATTTGATGATGTTTTGGCTATTGGTTGGGCCATTTGCATGTAAAAATCTACAGCTTTGAGGAAGACTGAGTGAAATATGACTTAACCCTTAAATGGTCCAAACGTATATATACGTTTTTTCAACATCTGAAAGTATGTAAAAAAATGTAGATCTTCTTTTTTGTTTTACATTTGAAAACGTGTAAAAAAAAACTTGTATCTACATTTTTTTTTGTTATATTTGAAAATATGTAAAAAAAAGTAGATCTACTTTTGTAGCACTACGAATTTGAACGTCGATCTCTTTGGACCGTTTAAGGGTTAAGTACTTTATTTGTCCATTTTGGTGTAATTACCCAAGTTTGCTGGGGTGAGCTCAAGCTCTTGGTCCCTTCTTTCAGTTAATTATTATAATAAAAAAGAAGCGCTACGCCACAAGGGCTATACAGCGCTGCAGGGTAGGAAAGGAAGCGAGGGTATTGGGCAGCAGAAGGGGGGAGGGGCGATCAGTAGGTTACAGAAAACAGCGGGGCAGGGGATAGTGCAGGGTAGAGGATAGCAAGAGATCGAGGTAGAAAGGGCTGAAGGTATCATCAGAGTTTGTGAAGTAAGTCAGTTGTTGTCAAAAAGTCAATGAGAAAGTCCGCATGAAAGGTGGGTCCATCAGCAAGAAGGGAAGGTAAAGAGAGAGCAGCGGAGCGAAGATGACATTGGAGGTAAATTCTGCATGCTCGTTGATAAAGTGGGCAACCTAACAGAATGTGGCTGACCGATAGTGGAACCAGACAATTCTCACAGAGAGGAGCAGGGCGCCTCTCCATGAGATATCTATGAGTAAGACGAGTATGGTCAATGCGGAGACGGGAAAGAGTAGTCTCCCAACCTCTGCACTGGTGACAAGAAGACGGCCAGTAACCTATACTCAGTTTAATAGATTGAAGTTTGTTACCGAGTAGAGTAGACCAACATTGTTGCCAACGGGTGTGAAGGTGGGTAGCTTATGCAGCAAAATAGTCCGTAAATGGAACACCTCTATATGAAACTGGTAGGTCATGTACTGCTGACCGCGCAGCAGTGTCTGCCTGTTCATTGCCCTGTATGTCAACATGACCAGGGACCCAACAAAAAACATTATCTTTATGCTTGGTAGAGATGCGGCGTAGCCAAAGTTGGATACGGAGAACTAAGGGGTGAGGTGTATCAAATTTCTGTATAGCCTGTAAAGCACTAAGGGAGTCTTTCAGTTAAACCACAGGTGGAGTTTGAGCCACTTGGCAAGCGAGTCGTAAAACTTTATGCCAGTGCGTAAGCCACTGGGCCAGCTGGCTACAATAAGATTCATCCAGCTAGGTCTATTTCTATACACCAGTTACAGTAGGGCCCCACTTATATGGCAGGTTAGGTTCCAGGCTACTGCCGGAAAGCAGAACGCCATTTTTTCCACTTAGCTGGCATTTATATGCAATTCCCTAAATCAAGAGCCCCTCACCAACATCAAGGAACCTTCCATGAGGGGTCTACGATGCTTAAAGATCCCTAGAGTGATAAAATCCATATACAGTACACTCATTACTTACCTTAAAGTATTTGTAGTCTCTTAATGGTCTTAATCTAGGGTGAGAGTTGAAAAGTATTTATTTGTAGAAAGTCATGTGTGGGAGGTAGGGTAGGGAATAAAAAGGCACAATACTGTGACTGGAACGATACACAAATAACCCGCACATAGAAGAGAGGTTGTCTTTCTTCTGTCTTGTTTCTGTTCCTTCATTATTTCCTCTCCCCCCACCTCTGTGTTCTTGCTCTCCCTCTGTGGGCACCTAGCTCCCTTGCAGTGCTCCCCTTTCTTTGTATTTGACTGGCTCCTCCTCCTTACTTCCCCATTACCACTTCCTTTCATCTCTGCCACTACTACTACTACTAGTAGTAGTAGTACTACTACTACTACCACTACCTCTTCCTGCCTATACAGTGGACCCCTGGTTAATGATATTTTTTCATTCCAGAAGTATGTTCAGGTGCCAGTACTGACCGAATTTGTTCCCATAAGGAATATTGTGAAGTAGATTAGTCCATTTCAGACCCCTAAACATACATGTACAAACGCACTTACATAAATACACTTACATAATTGGTCGCATTGGGAGGTGATCGTTAGGCGGGGGTCCACTGTATATACCCGTCCTGCTCTACTTCTCGTTAGTGTGACTTTGTATATGGTCCAAGCTGGACCAAAACGTCGTTGTAAGCTCCTCTCTTCTATGTGCAGATTATTTGTGTAGGGTAGGGAAACCCACCTGGCTATCCCCACCATGTAAACAAACGGACGAAGCGTCTGTATGAATGTTTATGAACCATAACCAAACACCTTACATTGTGTACAAGTTGTCTCCACAGTGGTACAGTAGAATAAATAAAGACCAACACTTACAGTCTCGTGTAATTTTTAGAAGGAATGATGCTCTGACAAATTATCATTATTACAAATTATTACTACAAGTTATTATTATTATAATAAAAAAGAAGCACTAAACCCACAAGGGTCATGAATAACTATAGATAGAATGAAGGCATATGAAAGTAATAAATTTCTAGTTAAGTTACTGATGTTTGACTAGAGAAAATGTGATTCTTCCAACCCTCCCACCAACTGCTTGGTAAACAAATATTTGTCAACTTTTATATTGTGGGTGTATGTATCATGTTTGTTACATAGCATCTTTATTATGTAATTTTGAAAAAAAAATAATGGATTAATAGAAATGTCTACATTAGCAGAATATACAACATTTAATGCCCCCAAGAGATTACATGTATTTTTATTAACATGGCATCAAGAGTAGACACACACTTAGTGATTTTAATGTGTACCTGCATGCCAGCACAATGTGTAAGTATATTTAGGTACAGGTACACTGAAGTATAATTATCAGAGTACATATAAAATATGCAATAACTTTAAAACACTTGAAATTTTGGAAAATTTCCAGACATAGAGATATGTGCTCATGGAGAATGTAAACAAACCAGGTGGGATGTGCTGTATTTGAAAGACCACTTGCCATATAGCAAATTTTGGTCATAATTTGAAACTGCCATATTAGGGTCTTCTTCAGCTGTCATTGCTCTTAATCATTTTTGTTGCCAATTTATCATATTCAGTTTCTAATTTCAGACTAGTGAAGAGCTTAGTTCATGCCAAAGATTGAAGATCTTGCTGTCAGAGTATACCTACTGTGCTGTATGCAGTAAAAGATTTACCAAACATAGGTATGTATTCTGCTATGTTCATTATTACTAGCATCAAACAATAAAATTAATCTTGTATGTTTTGTGATACTCATTTTGAGTAAAGTAATTATTTTACATTAAGAAAAGTAGAATAAAAATGCTTATCATTAGGAAAAAAGTAATGGTATGAGAGAGAGTGAAAGAAGTTAATAACAGTATCAGGGATTGAAATAGATATGTAGCAGTGAGAAAGAAAATAATAAATATGGTAGTTTTATAAAGGGAGAAAAGTTGAGTTTTAAAGAATATCTTTTCACTATTGATGTTCATTTCATTTAATTTCATTGATGTGTATTTTTCATTTCAGTGCTTTTGCTTGGTATCCAAATGGAGACATAGTTCACTTTTCATGCCAGAGTCAGAGGTAACAATACAAAGCAGAAAAATTGCACTGTACCAAATAATACTTACTACTACTGATTATGAGGTTTAAGAATCTACATGAAGGGAAATGCTGTATAAGCACACATTGGTAAGTTATATGACAGTTTGGTACATAGACAGTTATTGCAGCCTTGGTTGTACCACAATCTGATTAAAAAAATATGCTACTTCATTAGCAGTGGCTGAAAATAGTTTTTCCACTATGCCTAAATACAAGATAGAACATCAAAATGCCAGCTCGATAGTGTTGTAAGAAATCTTTGCTTTCTTTAACATCATGGATTCTTCCCCTATATTTTATTAACCTGTGAACTGCCAATGAAAATTTTTCAAGAGGAGAGATCTGCCTTAGCTGATCTGTGCTCCTCTGGAAAGTAGTCTTACTGGACACTCAATCATTGCATCTTGTATTTTATTTTTTAGTGGTTATTTGTTTAATAAACATTCATTAATTCATTTTGATTTCTGTTTATACTGTTTGATCTGATATAAAACTATATTATATAGAGATTGATATATAATGAAAGTAGGGACACAAGAGCTGTAGGTTGTATGTCAAGTTTAACCTAGTACATACACTATATTGTTAATATTCCTAAGAGCTTGCCAGAATATCTCAATTGCATGTGCCTTTTGTGATATTTGACTTCTGGAAATATTTTAATAGTTTAATTACTCAATTATTAAAATAAGTTACAGACTTATAAGACTTCTTTTGTTTATATATATATATATATATATATATATATATATAAAATATATATATATATATATATATATATATATATATATATATATATATATATATATATATATATATGCATGCAATAAGATCACAGTAAACAGGTGATTTCAAAATATGCAAAACAACCACTCTGAAAGAATAGAGAAATTCCAAGCGCTTTCGTGACTACTCACATTATCAAGGAACTATGAAAGTGAAGCATCAAGATAGTCAAACTGTCTGTTTTCTCATCAATGTTTTTGAGAGCTTTACGAATTTGTAGTCCTGAGTTCATAGATGAGGAAATATCCAAAATTTATGAAATAGGTAATGATTTAAAATACCCAAGAAATGTAATTGATAAATCTTTTAAAGTTGCTAGGAACACTTTTTATAATCCAAAAAAGGGCAACCAGCCTTATTCAACTAAAAATATGTTGGTTCTCCCTTACCATGAAAACTTGGTTGATATGCCTTCTCTTCTTAAGACTTTTAATATTAAAGTTGTATTCAAAAATCTTGATACAGTAAAAAAACTTTTGATTAAGAATTCCCCCCAAAATGCTGATGGATGTGTCTATAAGATTCCTTGTAAAATTTGCGATAAAGTTTATTACGGTCAAACTGGTAAAAATCTCGAACTAAGATTAAACAACATAAATATAGCATTAGAACTGGACAAGATTCCAATGCTCTATTTATTCATGTAAGAGATTTTAACCATCCAATTGATTTTCAAAAAGTTGAGAAAGTAGTATCAAGCAAGTCCATGGTCGACAGGAATATAATTGAATCTTGTTTCATAAAAAGCAGTTTTGACAATAATATGAATATTTCCTTTGGTTTATATAAATTAGATCCATTTATAATTAATAGAATTTGGGTAGAATTTAATAATACACTGGACAAATAAATAGCTTGGGGGTGAGTTTTGCAAAGGACCTATCCAAGTTGGCTCGCCGCGCGTCACGTGTTTAACCGTTGTGGGATCTGATAGTGAGGTGCTGGCCGACCCCTTATATAGCTTCCTTGGATGCTTCACTTTCATAGTTCCTTGATAATGTGAGTAGTCACGGAAAGCGCTTGGAATTTCTCTATTCTTTCAGAGTGGTTGTTTTGCATATATATATATATATATATATATATATAATATATATATATATATTATATATATATATATATATATATATATATATATATACACATACATACATACATACATACAAAACAACCACTCTGAAAGAATAGAGAAATTCCAGTGCTTTCGTTGACTACTCACATTATCAAGGAACTATGAAAGTAAAGCATCCAAGGAAGCTATATAAGGGGTCTGGCCAGCACCTCACTATCAGATCCCACAACGGTTAAACACCTGACGCGCGCCGACCCAACTTGGATAGGTCCTTTGCACAACTCACCCCACAAACTATTCTACCCAAGAAAATTTAAAAATTATTTGTCCAGTGTATTATTAAATTTTTCCCCAATTCTATTAATTAAAAAAGGATCTAATTTATATAAACCAAAGGAAATATTCTATTATTGTCAAAACTGCTTTTTATGAAACAGATTCAATTATATTCCTGTCGACCATGGGGACTTGCTTGATACTACTTTCTCAACTTTTTGAAAATCAACTGAATGGTTAAAATCTCTTACATGAATAAATGAGCATTGGAATCTTGTCCAGTTCTAATGCTATATTTATGTTGTTTTAATCTTAGTTCGAGATTTTTTACCAGTTTGACCGTAATAAACTTATCGCAAATTTTACAAGGAATCTTATAGACACATCCATCAGCATTTTGGGGGGAATTCTTTATCAAAAGTTTTTTTACTGTATCAAGATTTTTGAATACAACTTTAATATTAAAAGTCTTAAGAAGAGAAGGCATATCAACCAAGTTTTCATGGTAAGGGAGAACCAACATATTTTTAGTTGAATAAGGCTGGTTGTCCCTTTTTGGATTGTAAAAAGTATTTCTAGCAACTTTAAAAGATTTATCAATTACATTTCTTGGGTATTTTAAATCATTACCTATTTCATAAATTTTGGATATTTCCTCATCTATGAACTCAGGACTACAAATTCGTAAAGCTCTCAAAAACATTTCCTCATAGATGAGGAAATATTCAAAATTTATTAAATAGGTAATGATTTAAAATACCCAAGAAATGTAATTGATAAATCTTTTAAAGTTGCTAGAAATACTTTTTACAATCCAAAAAGGGACAACCAGCCTTATTCAACTAAAAATATGTTGGTTCTCCTTTACCATGAAAACTTCGTTGATATGCCTTCTCTTCTTAAGACTTTTAACCCTTTCAGGGTCCCAAGGGGGCCCCAAAACTGGAGTCACGCCCAGGTCCAAGAATTTTCAAAAAAAAAAATTTGTTATTTTTTCTTATGAAATCGTAGAGAATCTTTTTGTGAAGGTAATAAAACAAAAAGTACGAAATTTGGGGGAAAATTGACGAATTATGCTCTCGCGAATTTTGATGTGTCAGCGATATTTACGAATCGGCGATTTTTGCCAACTTTGACTTCCATTTTAGGCCAATTACATTATTCCATCAACCAAATTTTAGCTATTTCACTAGTATTACTTCTATTCTATCGATTTAGCACAAAAAATCGCCAAGTCAACTGTTTCAACTACAAAATAAAATGGGTCGGAAATTGTTAATTTGGCCAATTTAACACAAAGTTCAAAATATTCCAGTTTCAAAATAGGCTCCAGAATAAATAATGTAGCCATTCCTGGACTAAACTAACATTTCCTCTGGTTCATTAGTTATGTTTTGAGGCTTTACAAATAAATTCCATTTTGATTTTTTATTCACATAATGAATTTTTTTTTCACACCAAAAAATAGAAGATTTATGTTATGCAATACTGTAATAATTGTATAAATATCATCACCATATTTTTGAATGTATATTAGACCCACCAGCTGACGTGTATAGACGTTTTGGGGGTCGTTTGTTTACTCTTGAATATCGGCAAAAATTTAACATTTCCCCTACTTTGAGCTCAGTTTCAAGCCATTTCCAGTGCTAAAACCAATCAAAATCATCTCTATTTCTGTAATATGTCTTCCTTTTTATCAAATGAGACCAAGAAATCGCAAATACAACTATAAAAACATACGAAAAAACACTGCAAAGTTGCTGTTTTAATCGAAAAATCATGATTTCAGTTTTTTTCTCTCATTATACACAGTGTGCTGCAGGATCTGTTTTATGTGGTGCACACATACCACATAGATGTATTCTCTCATATCTAGGCCCAAATGTACCAAATCACAGTTTTCAGAGTGAGCTGAGCTCATGGCGTAGATCTACGGTTTGGACACTCACCGTAAAGCCGTAGATCTACGGGACGGACCCTGAAAGGGTTAATATTAAAGTTGTATTCAAAAATCTTGATACAGTAAAAAAACTTTTGATAAAGAATTCCCCCCAAAATGCTGATGGATGTGTCTATAAGATTCCTTGTAAAATTTGCGATAAAGTTTATTACGGTCAAACTGGTAAAAATCTCGAACTAAGATTAAAACAACATAAATATAGCATTAGAACTGGACAAGATTCCAATGCTCTATTTATTCATGTAAGAGATTTTAACCATTCAGTTGATTTTCAAAAAGTTGAAAAAGTAGTATCAAGAAAAGTCCATGGTCGACAGGAATATAATTGAATCTTGTTTCATAAAAAGCAGTTTTGACAAAAATATGAATATTTCCTTTGGTTTATATAAATTAGATCCATTTATAATTAATAGAATTTGGGAAGAATTTAATAATACACTGGACAAATAATTTTTAAATTTTCTTGGGTAGAATAGTTTGTGGGGCGAGTTGTGCAAAGGACCTATCCAAGTTGGGTCGGCGCGCGTCAGGTGTTTAACCGTTGTGGGATCTGATAGTGAGGTGCTGACCAGACCCCTTATATAGCTTCCTTGGATGCTTTACTTTCATAGTTCCTTGATAATGTGAGTAGTTCACGAAAGCGCTTGGAATTTCTCTATTCTTTCATAGTGGTTGTTTTGCATATTCTGAAATCACTGTTTACTGTGATCTTAAATTTCATGCATGCACACATATAATATTATTATATATATATATATATATATATATATATATATATATATATATATATATATATATATATAATTAAAACAGTAGCATATACAATGACTTAATCCTTAAGTTGGGCATGACTTATGTACTTCTGTGTGGGCAACTGGACATGTATATACAGTATACACACATCATAGCAAGTTCAAATGAAATGTCACACAATTTAATATATATCAGCAAGCATTTTGAATCTTATGTGCGAGATTTATATCCTTCTCAATTTTTTTTTTTTTTTTTTTTTTTTTTTTTTTTTTTAATATCTTTAGCTGTATAGCCCTTGTGGCTTAGCGCTTCTTTTTGATTATAATAATAATAATTTAATATCTTTAATTCAGTAACATACTACGAGTTACAAGTCGGAACAAAATTTTGCAGGCAGTATCATATATGATTAAAACCCCATAGATTATTTTTCCCCTGACAATAAATTAACATCAAGAGAACATTAACAATGATCCCATTAGTGTTATATACAGTACATAATATACAGTGAACCTTCAGTTTAACAAATAGTGATGCAATATTGAGCCAACAATTGTGTGGAGTCCCTTTATACTGGCAATTTTTACATTATTGGAAAATGCTAAATT